CCTTCCCCTTTTCGTTCTAAATGTAAAAATTCAAAAACACATGGTAACTAATAGTGGAAATGTATCAAAACTTCCAGTATTATACAGTCTTCAAATTTATCTCTTTACTAGATTTTGTAACCTTTTCGTAAAACTGAAAATGATCTAAACATAAAATGCAAAATATAACTCTGTAAGTCACAATATGATATTTCTAAATCAAACTCACACAAAAAATAGTCTTTAATTTAAGAGATATGCTTTTGTATATAATTTTCGTGTGGCAATATTGAACATTAATAATACCGTATGATCGGAAAAACGGCGTCCAATTGGATTGGAAATGACGATCGATGACATCTCCCATATAATTTTACATATGAAATGACAGCGATTTTTTTCGATCATATTGTACTATTTGGCATAATTAAAAAACTACTAACTATTACCCTTCTATTACTTTGACTTAAGATCAGAAAAAAAAAATTATCCTTTGACAATTTGGCCTTTTCCTGTATTTAAATTAATTGATTTTAATTGTAAAGATGGATTCATGCAATCAAAGTATATGTCTAAAAAAGCGGACGTTTATGTTACGATTAAGAATTAAATGTCATATTATTTTTCACTAGTTTAAACAGACAGCATCGCTGAATAATACCTTTCTGCGTTCCCGTAATTTTACGTCGATTGTTTTTTACTTTTATTAAATTCACTAAAATACTAAAACGAAGAATAATGAATGTATATTTTAAAAAAGTTTGGTAGCATAGAATTTTGTACTGTATAGCAGTATAACACCCTGTATAGTTTAAGATTACGATATTTATAGCAAAGTAAGTACAGACCAGCAATAGTAAACATTTAGTATAAATTTGATTTCAGAACATTTCTTCTATGTTTAATAATATTTTAAAAAAAGGCTGAAAACACTTCTTTTTATTTATTTATTTATTAATATTTTTGAAACTATCGATACATATTTAATAATATCTTAAGATTACGTAAAGTGGTCAGAGAGGAAACCAAAAATGCAATAATATACAGGGTGTTGCATTTAAAAAAAATCACACCGACCTACTCACTCTTTTGTGCTACCCTGTAGAAGTTAAAATATTTTTCTGAAATAGATCCTAACACACACTTTAGGTTGGAACAAAATTCCTAAGTTTTTTATTATAGGAGCTACAGATGCCCGACGCACTGTTGCTGGGCCCGTAGGAAAAACTTTGAAACATGGCAACCCATATTTGCGGCAACTTCTTGATAGGCACCCTTATCACATCATACACAGAATAAAAATAGCTTTAATTTGACATATAAATGAAAAAAAAAATGAGCCTAGTGTCATCTTCGTCTCCAATATAAGTTATTATTATTATTAATTTATAGACACCCTGTTAAAAGTGTATTCTCCTGTTCATAAATATACGTAAAAATTTAGTGATGGGCAAAACTGTTATTTTTAGATAACAGTTGAAACTGTTATAGTTATTTATAAAAAACAGCTTAAAATAACAGCTTAAAAATAACAGGTTTCTTTATTTTATTGCTAAATATCTGAAAGAATATGAGGCGGTCACCGCCAGGCGTATTAACGCAGTTGCAACAATGACGTGCTCGGTGGTAGTATTTCCAGGGTGTAACATTTCTAAATATCGATTGTTATCTAAAATACCTCTCTAAAAACGGGGGTTGTTTACAAATAAGCGCTGTTTACAAATTGCGATATAAAAAAGCCAAAATGCCGCCACTCGTCTATATCTATAAATTCCGATCTACCTACGCCCTACCCCTCGATCCGCGTAGATTCTGAATTGCGTAGCAGTGTACAGGGTGCATCTCACTCGACGGGCGAGAAGCTCTTCGTTATGATTTTACCATTTGCGGTCAAAAAATAGCAATATAAGAAAATGTGTAGTATATTCTTCATAAGTAAACCAACTACACACTAGAGTTCGAATTAATTTTACACTTAAACTAGCATGTACAGTTTGACAAATATAGGAAGAGACTTGGGGATAGCACCGGTCGCGCACACGATAGAGAGAGAACGCATTCGGCGGAAGAGAGATGCAGTTACGCTACGAAAAATCTGATTGAAGCAAATTTGTGGGATGTCCACTGCGCATCGGGGGGCGTCTCTTATTTTATATTTCTCACGTCTCTAGCTATACTTGTTAAGTTGTACCCGCGACTTCGTTCGCATCGAATTATTAATTTGTAATGGTGATGATAAAGCAAAGCAAGAATTTCCATTAACATACAAACTGGATAAAATTTTCTCACATTTGCCAAAAATATGCTTTAAACGTCGAGCAGTTTAAGCAGAATCGTGGTTAATCAATTACTCAACTTTTTGGAACACCCTGTATTATTTTTTAAAAAATTTCAAAATATGTAAAAAAACAAAATAAATTATGCGTGTCCAATCGTTTTCCCGAAAGACTAACCGTTTTTTAAATAATAAATATTGTAATATTTGAGGGGCGTTTTCACCCTCTTGGAATTTGAGATTCGAGAAACCCCTCCTTATCGCACCTCTACACCCCACAGTCAATCCGTTTACCAAAAATCAGCTTTAAACGTCAAGCAGTTTAAGCAGAATAGTGATTACTCAGTGGTCATATTTTATGAAACACCCTGTATATATTTTGTAAAAATCTCAAAATATGTAAAACAACAAAATAAAATATACGTGTTTAAGAGTTTTTTCGAAAAACTCACCAGTTTTTAAATAAAAAATATTCTAATATTTGAGGGTGGTTTCACCCCCTTAGAATTTGAGTTTCGAAAAATCCCTTCTTATCGCACCTCTACACCCTAAAGTCAATCCGTTTTCCAAAAATCAGCTTTTTACGTCAAGGGCTTTAAGCAGGATCGTGATTAATCAATGACCAGATTTTTCAAAACACCCTGTATACATTTTTAAAAAATCTTAAAATATTATTCTGAAAATTTTTCAGAATAAATAAATACTTAAATATTGAAACTTAATAACAAAGTATTGAAACATACAGCGCCATAATATCTCGACCTCCGCCCGTTATGCTCGTAACAGGTTGAAAAACAATATGTATCTAAAACAACTGATGCGTTATTCTCCAACCTGTTTCAAACCTCCGATTATCTCGAACGCCGTTCTGTTATGCTCGTAACAGGTAAAAAAACAACATAGCTAAAACAACTGATGCGTTATTCTCCAACCCGTTGCGAGCCTCCATCGACAATCGACCGATGCAGCAGCGCTCCTTTCCCACTCCTGTTATCTCGACAGCCAGGCGTTATGCCCGCAACTGTTTCAAAAAAGCTGCTTCTTTTATATCCTATTATTTTTAAGCTGTTGTCAGCCCAACACGACGCGCCGCGCCGTAGCGCATACCCCACTCCGTTGTCCGTTGTATCTCGCCGCCTGTATCGATGGTTGTCGAAATAATAGGTTTTCCATCCATACTAGTTGTTTTTTGGATTTGCTTCGAGCAGCATCGAATTTCGTGGCGGTGCAGTGCGCCGACTTCGTTTCACGAACACTCGATCTCTGCGTGTTGTTATTTTATATCTGTTATTTTTTAAAAGCAGTAACGGTTGCGTTATGTTATTTCTAAATAATTGTTATAAAATAACAGATAGTTAAATAACAACCCATCACTATAAAAATTAGGTTTTGATCAAAAATACCATGAGCGTAATAATACCGCAGCCGGATCCTATACTTTTAGGACCCGTTAGGACTAAGGTTAATATTAGGAACTGAGTATGCGTTGAAAGCAGAATGCTAGCGTTCTTTAACGTTGATTCATATTCTTGGGATTAAGACTAATGCTAGTGTTAGGTTTAAGATTGGAAGCATGAACCCACCTTAAGATTATGTATCTGTTACAGTAAAAGTTGGAAATCAGTGATTGTTAACAATTACTAGTAAAAGCTCACATTCACTGATTTGCTAAGACTACGCCAGTAAAAGTTCAACAGATATTTTTCAGCCAACTTTTACTAGTGAATACTAGCATTCCCTGGGCGATAGCAGTGGGTTTAAAAGATTCAGTTAGCGCGGTTGTAAAATATAAGGATAAATAAGGATAAGTTGAATAGTAGGCAATATAAGAATAACATTAAATTACGCTAAACATTGGCAACGTTGACAGACATCTGGCGTAAATTCGCTTTGTTTTTTGTGGTACCTATGTATAATTGTTTTGTTATCGTTGTAAAAAGTGCTGTGCGGTGTTTTTCCTATGGAAGAAATTTTCTGTGAAAAATTAAGGTACTAATACTAGTAATTCTAGGCACTCGCAAGAATGTAATAGTGCTTGTTTTTCATTTTTGCAATATAATGAAGTCATAGCAAAATTTAAGCATGCAAGAGACAAATATATTAAGAAACCTGGTGACTATAAACTTATTAAACGTTTTGATATGCTTGAAGTAGCGGGTTTTAAAAAACGAATAACTCCAGATAAAGAAAATTCGGGCATACTTTATTTTGTCCACGATGAAGAACTTTATTAAAAAAAACCTTGTACCAATAAGTAATCTTATGTTTATGAATGTTTTTTTTTGTATGCTTTAAAATGTTTACTATGTTTTCCCTTTTAATATTTAGAAGGTTGTCATTACTTTCTATAATTTTTAATAAATATGCTAAAGAAGTAAATTGTAATTTTAAGATATGTAGATCGGCTTGAATATTGAGGTGATCCAATATTCTTAAAAGTTTTATTTGTTCTAACTTCCATCAACATTCTTCCTCACCACCCTCGCCCTGTATAATGGAATAACTTTTACTGGCAATCTTTAGTAAATGTTACTTTCACTAGTGAGTGTTAGAAATTACTAGGAAAAGTCGACAAATCTCTTTAAAATACCACATTTACTGGTCCAATGTGTAATTGCTGGTTAACATTTCTTAGTGAATGTTAACAATCACTGAATTTCCGATTTTCACTGTAACATATCTAATAAACCCCAACCATCAGTTCTAGCGGTGATTTGTTATCGACCATTCTGACCTTGTCTTTCAGGTGACAACAAACCTATTTGGCAGGTGGCGGAAGAAAGGGAAGAGAACAAAGCTTGCAACAGGGAGAACGCCCCCTACGGCGAGTACGGCGGGTGGCATAAGTCGGCCAATGTCGATTCCCCCACCGTGACCACCACTTTGAAGAATCTCGGCGCCCTCTACAGGAGACAGGGCAAGTACGAAGCGGCGGAAACCTTAGAAGATTGTATCTTGCGAACCAAGAAAGAGGTAAGTAGCATTTGAACTTTATTTTTTGAAAAAATGATGTTATTTTGGTTAAACGCTTATAATACATTACGAATGGCTTAAAAATATCAACATTCTTGTTATTAATCCGAAAGGAAAAATTCAAAGTTATAAAACGTGTTCAAATGCTTTTCAACAGACAAAATAATTTAAGTATTTTTGATACAAGTTATCTCAAGATAATGTTACATTGAACATGTTTTACTCAATAGATATTGCCTTCTAAGTGTTGAAAATTCTTTTATTTCTATATCTTTATGTTTTAAACCATTCAATAAATGGCAATTCGCTTTTTTATTGATTAATAATGTAGTTGCGTGACGAAACTTTCGTCAGTAGTGCCTATTAATGTAAGTTATTTTCTACTAATATATAATTTAAAAAAGGTTATAGTGAGACATTCTGGAACGAGATTTTAGTAATCTACAGTGGGGGTATTCTGTACCAATTATTTGTATATGAAAATAATTTATATACAAAATGTTAATTTCTAATTGAACGTTATGTTTTATTGTAAGAGAAGAAACCTTCAATTTCATTGTAATATTTTCCCTTTTAAAAATACAATAACGTCTCTTATTTTAAGAAATATTTGTTGGTAACTATCTCATTCTAAGAAATAAAATGACACTCGCTGTGTAATAGGGTAATTATCTCCTTATGCCTGGCTAAGGAGCCAGGGAAGATTTTGACAAACGACATCCAAAAATGGCAGAAAGCAAAATAGGACATCCCACTGTCGTCTCCTTTGGCAGACTACTATTATATATTATATACAGGTTGTTAACTGGACAGTTACTTATAGGGGAACAGAATGGCAACACTGCCTATTGAGAACGCATATATAGGGATTTCTACCGACTCGTCCCGTCGGGTCGCGCGTCGTCTATCGACGAGCGGGCCGAGATTGCCATATTTCAACCATAAAGCTCTTGCCGCGAGTAATAAACAAATTAACAACCTGTATAATAGCTCTAAAAGGCTCATGGCTTGATAGGTTATCTTTCTCCATTTGTTTCTGTCTTCCGCCTTTATTCTCCACCCATCCACCCTTATCCTTCTCAAGTCCTTTTCAACAACCTTTTTCCATCTGGTTCTTGGTCTACCCCTTCTTCTCTTTCCACCTATTTCACGTTTCATTATCATACTAGGGAATTCTTGCTTCAGCCATTCTTTCAATGTGTTCCAGCCATCTCAGTCTTAGTGCTCTTGCTACTCTCGGTGCCGATATAGTTGCTTTAATTCTTCATTTGTTCTTCTGGTCCATATGTTGTCTATCTCATTTCCTCCAAAAATCTTCCTCAGTATTTTCCTAACCAAATCTCGAGCCTCGAACTTTCCGTTGCATTGAACGTCTACGTTTCACATGCATACAGCACTATTGGTCGTATCATTGTTTGGGAAATTAAAATAACTTTGGTTGCACATCATAATACGACCACCAGCAAACTCCATAAGACGACGCATGGTGTCATTGATGACGTGCAACGAAAGTTGTTTTAATTTCCCTTACGTTCTGATTTTTAAACTTCTAGAGATGTTCTTATTCTTAATACTTTTCTGTAGTGCGCTAACACATCTATTTCCTGCCATAGTTTCTTGAGTTACATTTGGTTTCCTTAGAAATACGGCTCCTAGATATGTGAATGTATCTACTTCCTCAAACTTGTATCGTTTCCCTCTCTCAAAATCTATTTGTAGACATCTTCCCTTCTCAAAATCCCTATCCGACCACTCCATAAATTTCGTTTTCTTTTCATTAAACACTAAGCCTATTTTTGAAGCTTGATTTTCTAATCAAAGGGCCACCGATATCAGCTTTTTCCGATCTCTTGTTAAGATAAATAAATCATCTGTAAAGGCTAAGCATTGGCGTCTTTTTGGCCCTCTCTGTTGATTCCCGCATTTTTATAACTTTCTAATACTACACTAAACAGTACTGGAGATAGTAGATCCCCCTGTCTTAATCCGTCCCTGATTATACATTTTTCCGTTGTTTTCTTGTTTACTTTGACTTGATTTACTGTCGCTTGGAGTGTCAGTTTTATCATCTTGGCCAGTTTCTTGCTAACCCCTAATTGTGTTAATGCTCTAAACACCTCCGTCCTTTTAACTTTGTCATATGCTTGCCGAATGAATACGGAACATAGACAATGCTCCTATTTGTCGGCTTTCAGCTACTGTCGATTACGACTGTCGACTACTATTATATTTGACAATAATGTGTCTATTAAAAACGTTATTAAACTAATAACCTTTTTTAAACGTATTTCATTTCATAAATTGTAATGAAGGGAGTATTTTTACAAGAGTAAATAACCTGCGACAATACTTCAAACAATTTGCTGGAGCTTATTTCACTAATATAAACATTTTTTAATTTTTTGCCACGCTATGCAGCATGTGCAAGTAGTACAAGTAAGTTTAACTTTAAATGTTTATACCTTTTCAGCCCTTTTGTTGTGTGACATTTTTGATATTTTAGATCAGTGGTAATATACACGGAAACATGTATTTTTATCTCGAAAACTGTGCTGCAAAACTGTCGATGAACAGGGTGTCTGATTTTTGTGTTTTGTAGAGTTTCACGTTTATAAGTAGAGCTACAAAGACGCGGTTTTCACATAACTGTGTTACTTTTTTATGAAACCAAATATATTACACACTGATTGCCTATCCTCCTTGGTTTCTGAAATACAGGGCGAATTTGAAAATGTTGCATTTTTTGACCCCCTTCAAGATCTATATTTTATAACTTATCGAAAAGGTGAAAACTGTAACAAGATTTTTGCTGCGAGCTGTGATTCTTGAAATATGAACCAAACTTATGTTATTTCGAGATACCCTGTATATTATATTTTTACTTTATTTGTATTATGAGCTTTCTGAAAATATAACATACTCTATACTTATTTTCATAAACAAGGTAAAAAATAAAATACATTTCACTTAATAATCAAACATCGAAACCGCATGTTTGTATCTCTACTCACATAGGAAAAACCCTATAAAACACACGAAAATGGGACATCCTGTACTTTTGCCGAGGATAATTAATTAAAAATACTTTAGCTTTTTCAAGAACTCAATAGCATATTAGGCATTTTGTAAAAGTACATTTCATTTGTATTTGTACAGACACAAGTTGTATAGGTACAGAGTTGAAGCTAAATTTTAATTTCACAATCTTGTTTAAAAGTGTTTATTACTTTTACGTTTTTTATTTTTTACTTATTATGTATAGTAGTAGAAATGTAATATACAGTGTGTCTACGGATTGTCTTAACTATACTTGTAAACTTGTTTATTTTCGATTTTTTGAAAAAAAGTAATCCTTCGTAATTTTTTTGCTTGTTATTTAAATATGATTGAAGTTGAGAAATATAAATTTTAATATACAGGGAGCTTAAAAATGTAAAATTGGAGATATGAAAAATTTAAAATTCTCGATCAGACTTTTTTGAAACATTAAAGTGAAAGAGCATTGAAAAACAATTTGAAATGCCAAATAATCTTTTTATACGGGTTTTAGTTACTAAGATATTTGATATTAAAAATAAACTTAAAACGGATTTAAGTTTTTAAAATCGAAAATAAACAAGTTTACAAGTATAGTTAAGACAATCCGTGGACACAATGTATTTTTAACTTCTTAATTACTACTTTTTCTTACTACTTGTTACTCCTCCAAAAATAATTACTGTTGTACTTTTTTGTCAACATTCTTATTTAATAATTTTGTTATTTGATGTGAAATTAGTTCCAACAAAAATATCTAAATAATATTGATAAGAATTACTTTATTAATATTTACTGCTTAAGGGGATATTTTCTTTAAAATATGACCAATTAGTGGTGAAGTGCCAAAATATGCAGCTAACTAGTGTCTGTCTATACTGATTGAAAGCTAGTTTATGTATAAGGCTGAAGCGCTCTACATAATATATGTATTTACATTCAAATAGAGAATATTTGTTCCCAGTGATAGGTGTAATTTTTTAATGTCGTCTGTCGAAATCTTGCCTTCTGTCGTTAGGCACGCTTTACACATATTTTCTAAATTTTATTTTAAAATATTCTCATTCTAATTTTATTCCATTGACCAGTATGTAAATATTTGATTATTGATTTGACAGTATATTTCTCATAAAATAAAAAAAAAGTACAATGAAGCATAATATACAGGGTGAGTCTTAAATAAGTGCAAATATTTTCAGGGCTGGTAGATCTTGATAAAAGAAACATGTTTTATCTTTACCGTTTTTCAAATAAATCCAAAATAACCAAGTTATTTTACTTTGATAATTTCCAGAAAATAATAACTTTTTTCTTACATTTTGAGAACCACTGAATCTTTTCTGGATTTTCTTTCTTGTAAATTTAATCTACTACCTATGTTGCCATATTATCAAGAAATTATGTTTTTTAACTGAATACTAAAAAAAAAACAAAATTATCAAATCTTTTTTTGCGTCTGGAGTCGAAATACACTACCTCTAAAAATATTTGCACTTATTTAAGACTCACCCAGTATATTGAGGGATGTCACACTAATTGGTCTAATTATCAGTTTTCTATACGATTTATTTAATATCGATGCTATAGTTTAGCCTACGTGAGCTTATATGTCTTTGCAGCAAGCTCTCGACATTGTAAAGCACTCTAAGGTGGGGAACTTGTTGGGCGATGACAGGCGCAAAAGTGCCAAGACATCACGCAGGGGCTCCAGAGAATCACTGGAAATGTCTTTCGATGGCGAAGAGGTAGGTGAAGGATAAATAAAATGCTTGGTGTATAAAATTTAGAAGCTTAGAGAAAATTCAATAAACAAACCGATTTAAAATTATTAGAATAAGCAAAAATTGCTGCATTAATCTATTTTTATGATATGCAACGATGACATGCATATTTTTGTTAGTTTGACATCATGTGAGTACACAAATTTAACTACAAGGTGTTAAATTAAAATAAACGTCCAAATTTGAGGGGGTGATTCCTCATCAAAAAATATGAAAAAAAAATCCTATAAATAAGGATCCGGAAATGGATATTTTGAAATACACAGAATATTAAAACTTTTTAAAAAATTGTTTTTAGAATTATCTTAAATAAATACATTTTGATGCAAAAAAAATGCAACGGAAAAATTTTGGGTTAAGTTTAAAATATTATATTTTTTTATTTTCCGCTCTGTTTCCTTGATTTTTTAGCAAACTGTATTCGAATATATTAACTTTAATTCGTAAACTCAGTTTATTATAAAGTTTAATATTTGACCTATTATACAGTGTTAATTGAGAGTTGTTTTTTACCTTATCTTTAAAACACTCTGTGCAATCATTTCGTTGACAAATTTTCCCAAAATATTATTTTTCGGTCAGAACCATGTCTCCTAAATAATATCTTATTTTTTGACTCATGTCAACACATGCCCTGGATAATTTTGAAGAGCAAAATGAACTTGCCACAAACATTTTGCAATTTATTCAATTATTGTTACTTTTTGATGTTGTTCTTCATAATGACGATGTGGCTTTGGTGATTATTGTTGTGTACGATTGTTTATGTTTCTCAGTGTTGAAAATTGTGCAAAAGTTATTGATCTTGTTGAAGATTGCCGAAATTGTGAATATTTGCTTGGTCCTTGAAGAAGAATGGGCAAACAACACAATATATTTGAAGCCTCATTATGAACCGACGGACGTCTATAGACTGTTATAGCAGCCAGAGTATTTTTTACAAGTTTTTCGTTATTGTATACTTAGTTATTACAGTTATTTTTTTAATATCCTTAGTTCTTTTAGTGTTACTAATATGTATTAAAACCATGCCTGTATCGTTACATTTTAACGTTTTTAAACTTTGATGTAGAGTTCTAATCGGTGTCGATATGACATTACTACAATAGCCACCAAAGCCATCCCGTGATATTAATAAATTCTTTATTCTCATATCATAAAGTAATGATAGTTGAGAAAACTGCAAATTGTTGGTGACAAATTCATTTCGCTCTTAAAAATTAACCTACGCATGTGTTGACATGAGTCAAAAAACAAAATGCTGCTATGTCTCCATAGTTTTGACAGGAAAATAATGTTTTAGGAAAAGTTACTCAAAACAAATCTTCAAATAACCCTGTATAATAAGTCACTAAAGTTTATAAAAAAATTGAGTTTACGATTTAAAGTTGATAGATTTAGATACAGTTTGCTAAAAACATCACGAAAATAGGGCTAAAAGTAAAAAAAATATTTTACTTAACTTAATATTAAACTTTAAACTTGATGAAAAAATGTTCCGTTGCTTTTTTTTGCATCTGAGTGTAGCATTATTTTTTTTAGTTTATTTTATTAATATTGTATACGGATTTAAGTTTGTTTATTGAATTTTTTAATTTGTATAACTAATCCTATTAACTGCTGATTGCTTGATCTGTTCATTATTACACTAACTTTTACAACAAAATATTGTTTTTGAGGGTTATAATGAACATATCTACGCTATGTTGCTTTTTTAACGTTTTGGCTTAACACCACACACATATCACGTAACATAGATAACATAGACATTATTATCAACTCCATTTATTTACCCCTTTTCGTATTTGTTTCCGATATATGTTGTATATCCCCAATATTTTAATTTTAAACTAACGTACTAATAGGTATACACGATATGTACGTTCCCTTTGTGTTTAAAAATAATAATTGTATGTATATGAATTAACGTTTGGATGTAATATTCACGTCTTTTTTAAACTGAGTATATGTTTGTACCCGCAAAGTAAGAAATATTCTCTATACCATCTGCTTATAAGTACTGAAAATTGACTATAGCTGTATGACAGGTGTTTCTCTTCGGTATTTACAGTTCTAATGTGTCATATAATGCTCCACTTCTATTGGTTTTCCTGCGTAACTCAATTTTATAAAACTTTTTAATCAAGCCTTTATGCGTAGGAAGCGGCAACCGTTTTTTTGTTTCTGTCTATTATTAAAGCTCAGCTGATTAAAATACCTATAGGTATAAATTTTTACTACCCGAAACAGCGTTACATCACACAAACCTCGTACCTGAGTGTTTCATAGTTTCAATAACTGCACTATTAAAAATTAAAATACTTAAATATTAATTTAATATTATTTCAATGCGATCAACATTGGAACTACATGAAATGCTGAGCCGAGAACTTCTGATTTCTGCCGCATCGAGCGTTGCGGTCGGTATTTTTAAAATCACCTGAAATGCACCAAGCCTATCCTTGTCATACATATTGAAATAGAGACCGCTTAATACACACATGGCCAAAATTATTGCATATAACGATATTTTTATTTTATTTTGGACCTAATATGATTCTTTTTATATTTTTGGACATATTGGCTTACTACACGACTAACTAATATAAAATTAAAAATCTAAAAATGCAAAACTAGGCTGTTATTATAATTTTATTTCATATATATATATATATATATATATATATATATATATATATATATATATATATATATATATATATATATATAAATATAAAAACCGGGTTCATAGCGTCCTACGCCTTCCGGTACTCAGTTGCCAGCCTTTCCTATTCTCCCAATCCCCTGGATGAAGGTTTCTCTCCGACATAGCTTTATGTATTCCTCCGATCCACGTTGCCTTTGGCTTTCCCCTTTTTCTCCTTTCTGAAGGTATACATTTCCATAATTTTATTTCATAATGAGTGAAAATCAACAAAAACAAATTTAATTTTAAACAGAAAATATTGAAAACAATTTTAATTATTTCTCACAACTAATAGTCTGTATTGCCTCCTCGAGCCTCAATGCAAGCTATGAGACGACGTGGCATGCTCTCAATTAAGTTGTCCAGAAGATGTTGAGGAATGGCTTCCCATGTTTCGCGCGCAGCAATTTTCAATTCATTTAAGGCCCCGGTACCTTCGGGGTTAACCCCGATCATTCCTTTTGGTAATATGGCGTTTTAGCATGTCCCAAGCAAGCTCGATCACATTCATATCTGGAGACATCGGTGGCCACCACAGTTTTCTTATACCCTCTTCCTGACAAAATTCGCGAACCGCTAAAGTGCGATGGGGAGGAGCATTATCGTCCATGTAAACAAATTCATCCCCCATACCTCTCGAAATGGACGCACCAAACGTCTCTAAGATATGAGGCACCTGTCATTGTGCCATCAATAAAATCAAGAGGAGTTCGAGCTCCGTGCATTATACCTGCCCGTACCATAATGCTCCCCCTTGAAACGGGACACGGGTTTGAGCTGCATTCAAGCGTGCTCGTCTTCCAGATGCTCTCCAGACCAAAGTTCGTCGCGAGTCTGACACTAGGCCTATTCTTGTTTCATCACTAAACATGACGAAATTCCAATTAGGTCCATTTGCTTTCATCTCCTCAGCCCATTGTAGTCGCGTAATTTTGTGCTGTAAATTAAGCTTCGGAACACGTAGAGGCCTCCTTAAATGTAATCATCTGTCATGGAGTCTTTTTGCTATGGTCTTTCTTGAAACATTTACTCATTCAGGCGAGCTAACTCATGTTTAATAGCAGTACTAGAAAGCAGAGGATTGCATCGTGCAATTAGGGATATTTGACGGCCTTGCACAGCAGTAGTAACTCTCTTTCTACCTCTTCCAGGCCGGTCTGTAACCTCGTTTGTCTCCCTGAATTTTTTTAATATTCGAGAAACATCGCTTTGGTTAACTCCTACAATTTCATCTATTGCAACTTGCCGGTAGCCCTGTTGAGACAGTGTTTCTATTCTGACTCTATTAAACTGTGAAATAATGTTTCTAGGCATTTTAAGGTCAAAACAATGGTCAAATTTCTTCTGAAACCCAAGAGACCACAAATCGAAATGTGCAAGAATTTGTAATAATATTGGGTTTGAACGATAAACATTGTTTACCATATCCATTTTAACAAAAAATGTTTATTACTGATTATCAAAGCTATGTGTAAAAAAAGATTCTTTAAATTCCTTTCCGTATATTTTTAAACGATATATGCAATAATTTTGGCCATGTGTGAAAAGTTGTGAAGCGTGAGTATATTCAGGGAATTAATGAAATTTAACCTTTTTGAAAAAGACGTGCATATATGTTTTTTACATACATGTTCCCTTTACATTTCCAAATGTTTATTTTTGACAGACCAATCCTGCTCGAACCCCCGACACAGAGAAAAGCGGCCTGAAAACGAAGTTGTTTAACGCCCTCGGAATTAACTCCCCCATTACCAAACCCAGCTCGTAGGCCCCATTAATTTAAAGGCCAAAGGAAACTACGACGCTTTATTTACACAAGAACTAAGTTCCATATTTCTGGTATTTGCAACCTCTCGAGAATGTGTCGACTTAGATTTTTTAAATGAAAATTTCAAGAAATAGTTTTATTTTGACTACTAAGATTGATTGACATTTATAGTTTCTGTCTTCCAACGATGTTCAGCATCGAAACAGCACTCTTTAACTCGTTTGCAAAGCATTTAAAGCTAAGATAACTTTCACTGAGATTCATATAACGCCCTAAATAAGCGTGTCAAGACATTGATAAGCGCCCTAAATAAGCGTGTCAAGACATTTAATTTTGATTGACTTACTTGTATACAGGGTTATTCGTCTCTTTTGACACGGAGTATTGTAGCCACACGATTAGATTATTAGAAATTGTGAGTGATGGGATCGTTAGGGGACTACCAAAGCTACAATTAAAACTATTTTCAAATGGTACAGAGTGATCCAA